GGAGTTCTATAATTGAATTACAGTAAAATTACAGTGAAAATAATGTTAAAACGAACTCCCAGGGACCGAAAAATCAAGATTGTGTGTTGGAAAAAATAATAAATAGATACCCAAATGCTGTGGTGTCAGCTCCTTACTTAATTCATATATGCTCAGCACACACAAAACACACACACACAGACAATTTCATGAAATGAGTTCATTAATCTCTATATCACTAAAATAATTAAGGTGGTAGGAAGTGCGGCTTAAATACAACCAAATGTTTCGATTCAAGTTTTTCTTCCGAAAAATAACCAAAAGAAATTATTCGTCACAGTCCCTAAATAGGGTAGTCACGTCCAAAAGAACTCTAACAAAAATGTGGAACGTAGGAAACGGAAGAGATATAAGGCGATATATATATATATATATATATATATATATATATATATATATATATATATATATATATATATATATATATATATATATATATATATATATACACACATATACATATATAAAGTATCATAATGAACTTTTCTTGCGCAAAAGCAGGTGCATGTATTATGTATCCAAGAAGGTGGAAAAATACGTTCGTCACTTGTGTTCTCTCGCTGTGTTTATTGTTTGCTGGAGGCGTATTAGGCTTCTACACTTCTCTTCATATCAATCGTCCATCACGTCAGAACAGAAAAACCTGGATTGCGAAGACATCTCATCCATTGGTGAGCTCGCTAACACCCAAGATCGGTGTCGAATGGCAAAAGGTATGTAGAGTTCTAGCTTAATAGTTTTTTGTGTGTGTATTATACAAGGAATGACTGACAGGATGGTTAAAACGCTTAGCTTTTAATTGAGATGAACGGGTTCTAACACTGAACCGGTGATCTGGATTGTTCTCTATCACAGACACACACAAAAGTCAGATTTTGCAAAGTTTATGAAGACCGAACTAGATAAGCTTCCCAAACTTTTGTCCAGTCGCCCACTTTTAAAATAAAAATAAAAAAAATAAAAAATAAAAAAAATTGTCTAACTTTTCCCGCCTCATCCCATTTTTCTGCCTTGAAATAAAATCATCATCATGTTTGGAGCCGACAATAGTAGTGGTCATGATTCGGCATCCTACACGATCAGCAAAATCAATGATCGAGTGGCGGTCTTGTTCCGTGCAACGCACGTGGCTATTTCATCGAAATATTTATCCCATTGCTTTTTCCTTGTCCCTGTCCTATAAATCTTGCCAGTTGAGCATAGGATTTCTTGGAGGATTAGTTTTGAATTTGGGAATGCTGTTGCTTTTTTCCCCCGAACTATTTAGAGCTTTGAAGTGCTGACATAAATAAATGCTGCTCTTCTGATCAGGTAGCTTCTGCAACCTGCATTGTTACAAACGCATTAGTGTCATCTCTTCCTTGGAGTAAACAATGCGGGCTGAGCGATGGACCATGCTGCATGGGCAAATACCTGTCTTATGCAGAAGTGACTTATATCCCGTTTCATCCTTTTGGGATGAAATTTTTTGTTATTTGAAGCACCACCCTGGCTTTTGCCAGGGACCGCAATATAGGCAGGCCGTAAATATGGCCAATTGTCTGTACGTGGTTATTGGGACCTCTCCACGGCGATCCTCATCCACATGGTACCATTTTGTGTCATCGGGTGTTTATCGCTTGTGTGATTGTCACATATCACTCCTATCACGTGCCTGATATAAGGATTTCTCCTTCAGAACCAACAGCACTCAGAAATAATTATGTTGAGTCGTTTGGCTCGTATTGGTCTAAGGGATTCCCCGTGGCCAATATACGCTCAACTTATTTCTGGAGTAGGGCAGCTCAAGTATTGGCACTACAAAATATATTTGTATATGAATACAATATTCCTAGGAACACTTGGCTGGACACCCCCACTACTTACTAAAGACAGCCTCCAGGTTATGATAGTTCATTATCATAACCATGTTAACACATATAATATTTATGACTCATACACACAACAATGCTAAACACTTAGAAAGGTGAAATAGAGACACCTAAGTCAGCCATGAAAATGAATGCATGTAATCAATACAACATATATATATATATACATATAATAGTGAAACAGATGCCAGATCTCAGTGGATGGATCCCCGAATACAATGACTAGAATCAACCAAAGCTAAACAGTCAGAAAGTCCTGGAGGAAGCACATCTTTTCATCATCGGATTACATTGGAGCTGTGGGGAATATAGCAACATGGAAGCAAACTGGCACTTATCCTCTTTCTATCGTTGATGCTTCCCTCAGCTCCTGAACAATCGACTGTCTGTGTATCCGGTTACTCTGCTTCAAATGGATCAGGCAGTGGAGGAGTACCTCACCATAGAGGACACAGCAACTGTACTGGTACTCAGCAAGTCTCTGCTACCAGTCAGGTCACAACACTGTCTCTGGGCTACACCAAGCTCTTGCACTGTTAGGCTGTTTGGGGTATATGGCACCCCATAGTGATGATGTCATGAACTTTACAAATGGTAGCTGGTGGGTAGTTGGGTGATAGATTGGTTGATAATTGGTTGATGGGTGTTGGTTGGACTGTGATTTTTCTGCCAGCTCTTCACAAAGGTTTCATCCTGTCAGGAAAGAACTCAGAATTAGTCATCACCAAGAGGGTATCATCTTGACAGGAAAGACAGAATAAGTATCAGTCACCATTCCACAACAGCCTACTCCACCTCTGCTCTTCTGTTTCATTCCTCAGAGTGCACTCTCAAGACCAGGAGACAAAATCTCCTATCATTCATCTGTCTGTTTAGTGCAAGAGATGGAAAGTCAGATATATAGTGGAGATAGATAGACACTCTCACACATATATCAATCTCTCTCCCCTCCCATCTGCACACAGACACCAATATTTACCGTCAGTACCCCTATTCCCTACGACTCTCAAGTCATTTCCACACATCCATTGATCTGGGTCAAACACACTCACGCAGCTCTGGCTGCCCAGTACTGACCTAAATTCTCTGTCCCCATTCGTATGCACAAACTTCTGTTGTTAGTTTAAATGGTACACACTTGTAAGGTCATTATTTTTACCATTATGTGTGGGTTATTTAGGGTATAGGCCATTTAGTCTGTACAAAAGAAGGTCTAAGTTCGAATCCGCCTCTCTAGAGATCAAGAACGGTGGAACTATGTGTGATCTCATAGCCGATTCTGATCTCTCCACAGCAGTGACCACTTTAACAGACATCATTTAAGGTACTCGAAAACTAAAATTAACTTACCCAAGCATAGGAAAAGTCCTCGGCACTACAGACCGCCTTCTGAAAGTGAAATTCGCTGGCGTCGATGCATACATCTGAACGCTAGGAAAGCCGGCAGAAACAATGCCGCAAAAATTAAATTCAGGCGTCGGTAAGAAGAAGTTCCTTGCATACATGAGCACGGAGTAAACCGATTTCTAAGAATAGTCAAATAACTCCAGCAATATTTATCATACAGTTGCAAATTTGAAAATGACGCTAAGTCAAAGCAACTGGAAGATGTAGGTATCATAATTCTCTCCGATCAAGGCATATATCGATATAGGGGACTATATACCTTCCCGGACGAGTCCAAGTTAGAAAGTTGTGTCGAGCACAGGTAATACAGGTCCCTACTCTTTTAGGGGTGATGTGTAATGGCTTGTCATTCCTTGACAGTGATGTCCTTGTGGGGTAGAAAGTCAGTCAGTCATTAGTGACTAGTGTGTATGCTCCGCAGAGAGGATAAATTTCATCCCTGGGCTTAAGTGTTTGTTATAACAACTCTACCTTATAACAGGATCGTCTTGAAAGATGAAAATATGTCACGGCCTATTGTAGGCCTCAGTTCAGTGCACAGTTCTCTATGTTCTTCACTGGCTTTTGAAGCGAGTTAGAGGCTGTTGTTGTAGTTTCAGTGGTTATGTTTACAGCAGTGTCATGATGCCTGGCGATTTGCTGGAGAATACAAAATGGTCACGTTCAAGCAGCATACTAGAAGGGGGTAACTACACTAGGTTATGGGCGCCATATAAAATGACTTTGCATTGTACACCACTAAGACCACTGGAAAGTACTCGCTTTAGTGTTGAAGCGATCAAGAGGGACAGACCCAAAAGGCGCCACCTGGTCAACGATGTGAGCAGTCGTTTATTTGGCTTTCGTTTATAAATAGGCTGTTGGAAACTTTCTGCTATAAACATTTAGTAATGTCAGTTATGTAAGTGATGAGGTACCTTGCCTGTTTTACGTTGCTCTGATAGACTGTCTCTGTATTTTACTGATTAAACAGCCGAATAGACAGCATAGCTTCAGAGTTATTCTGTGTAATTATGTCAAATCGTTTTAAACATAAAGTCTCCTACTCAAAAATATATGTTGTGGGAAAACCCCCACATGTAGAAGTTTCAGCCCAGGTAATCAGTAACGAAATATGGGATTATCAAAACACAACTAAAGAATAAATTAATGTTAATGATCGAATATTCATTAATGTTATTTGGAAAAATTAGCACGAATCCATTCTGTTACTCTCCTAATTATAATGAAAATATAATGGAACTGAGCCGGGTAAAACGGCATAGAGGATTCTACTGCAATTCCAGTAAGACGTGCATGATTTTGACTGAATCGCCTGGATACTAATGATTTTACAATGTATAGTGAGGATAGGGACAGAATGGAATAATGAAACAACTGGGTGGGTTTCAAGGAGTTCCACAATGTTTACCATGTCAGTAGTCCTAGGAAATAGAGGCGGCCGGTGTGATGCTGACCACATCACCCACCAAATGCTGATTGGTCTATTAAATATAGGTCTAGCCCTATATGCCTAATACTCCTAAAGATTGGAAAAGGGTCGTTTATTTTTGCTTCTATACCTTGTCTGTCCAATTCTGTAAATGTTTTGGCTAGTTCCTTGGTATAGACTGAGGTATACAACTACAAATCGGCTACCCTAGTTGCAATAATTATAACAGCCGATATCTATTACATAACCAGGTGACACCACGGATTCCAAAAGAGGCAGCCCTAATATAAAAATGATAATGGACGTAAACCCGAGACCCGAAGACGCCCGCAATTTAACTTTCTCTGCGTGTGAATATACCGCTTGCGCCATGACGTCAAATCCTTTAGAAGCTGACCTGCTGATGTTCAACGGCCTTCGAATGGAAGGGCTTACTCTCCCACAAAGACCGACAGGCCAAATGTAAGTACAAACTTATGTACACTCTTTCCTATCTCCCTTGTTTTTCTATTATTGTGAAGAAATACACGCTTATGTGTTTTCTCTCTTCGCATTCTTGTTGACCTTCTCTTGAAAAGAAGTACATAATTCGTAAGTTTTCACAACCTTCTATTATTTTTTAAATTGTCGGTTGTTTGATGCTTTGTCTAGCTGGAAGTTTGCGTCGGATTTTAACATTACTTCTCGACAAGCTATAACGCTGACGATGCTGTAATATAAATTATTTAGGAGCTCCCTCTTCTATTAGTAGTGGTATAGAAAATGGAAATGATTATTTGTAAAGATAATTAGCTTAACTCTTTTACACAATAAATTATATGATAATGTAAAACATACAATATCAATTTAAGAAAACAAGTAAATGTGAATATATTTTTATCCAAAATACTATTAGTAAAAAAAAGTAAAGTTCCCTTTTCACGCCTTTCGGCGCATCGGGAATATGGGCAGAGCGTCCCATATTTTTACGGACCATCAGCACTCTGTGGGTAATGTGGTCTGCATTACGCAGGCTGTCTTTACTTTTCCAGAACAGCCTATCCTGGTACCCATTTTAGGCTGGGCCGACCTGCGACGTCCCATACCACGATAAAAATCCACGCATCCTGCAGTGGGTTTCGACCGCGGTATGCTGGCTTACGAGTCGGACTCGCAACGCCTTAGCCTCGGTCGCCGCTCCAAAATACTATATTATATATTATTAAATATCTTTTTAGTGCATTGGTGTATGGAAGATATGTTATGAGCGCTAATAGTATAAAAAGTAAAGGCTCCTTTTCCGCGCCTTTGGGCGCATTGGGAATATAGGGCTTGATCAATATTTTTGTAGAGCAATCGGCACTTGGTGGCTGATGTAGTCAGCATCACGCCGGCCGCCTTTCCTTCCTAGGACTGCACCTGGTACCCACTCAGAGCTAGATTGACATGGTGGTCAATGTTATTGTTGAAGAAAAAAAGTTCAGCTCCGTCAGAACGCGAACGCAGGACCTTCCGATCCGTATACGGGTGTCTAGCCGCCAGCACCACGACGACTCCTGAGGTTATGGTAAAAAAAAAGAATTTTTTTTCTCTCTCTTTCTTGATGCTCTACTCTGGAAAAGAAGAAGTAGATAATTCACGTGTTTCTATTCATGTTTATTGTGGATGCACCCTTCAGATGAAGTACACAATTCATGTGTTTTCTTTACTCTCTTTCCTAATGATCTACGTCTGAAAAAAAATGCGTGATTTATTTGTATGTTTACTTATAATATGCATACTGATTTACTCTGGGAAAGAAGAACACAGCTATGTTTTTTTCTATTCTATCTCTTGTGCGTTTCTGTCCCTTGTTCATTGTTTCTGTTATTTAGCTTGGCTCTCCATGAAAGTTATTACCTGGCCAGTCTTGCCAGACAGCTAGGCCATTTCATCTCTGTCTGGTGTAAATAGTTCAGTCCTCTTTAGTCCACTTCTTCTAACTTCTTTATTTTTTTTTTATTCGTGCTACTTTGGCATCTCTTCCAAGATATCTCATCTTTGCTGTTATAATGTTGCATTCGCTGGTTGTAGGGAAAGTCCTTGATTGACACTGGTAGCCTATGTTGGCAAAAGTCTGATAAGATATCCCTTAGTAGACTACGGTATCTGTTTATGTATCAAATATATAGTTAGTTGTCTCATTACTTGATTTGCTTTTGTACATCAAGTGTTGATTTTGCTTATCTAATCTTCCATCTAAGGTGATCATTAAACCTAGGTATTTAAATTCACTTGCTTGTTTTATCTTTTGTTATTTACTTATATTAAAACTATTTCTCATTGTCTATAACGGTAAAAAGTGTATACAAGAGACAAGATGTGTGCCTCGAGATTTGATGGTCGCCAGTTCTTTTCGCGGGCTGTGTCTTTCAGTTCATAACGTCTATTTCGGTTCAGTACGACTTTGAAAACTGGTTGTGGGGACCTTGATAATCTGGACGTTTGATTTTCAACCTTTTAATTAATGCATTAGAACGCTGCAGTGGCAGTGTGATTTGTCAAGTTGGCTGCTGAAAGAGTGGCCCAGATACAATTATCATTATTTGCAGTATTCCATCCCAACACCTCCTACCCACCCCCTTCCTCCTCCCCACCCTTTCCCATCACCTCCAACCCCCTGACCATAAATAATCCCACTAAAACAGCTCTGGGAAAAAAAAATCGGGTACAAAAAGTATCTACAATCTGCTGGCAATTATCAGAAAAAGCAAGGCGAGGAGGAAGAAAATTCTTCTGACTTACACTGTCCAAGAGGGAGCCATCGTGGTGTAGTAGCTAACATCTCGCCTGCTGAGGCGAAGGTCGTGGGCTGGAATCCAAATAAAGACGGGCTTTATTTCAAAAATGATCTTGGCTTTCAGGTCGGGCCAGCCTTAAATGGGTACTAGGTAACGTCCTGTAAAGTAAAGGCGACCGGCATGATGCTGACCATATTACACACCCAGTGCCTATTGCTTTATAAAATATATAACTAACCTATTTGCCCAATCTCATGAACGCGTGGAATAGGGTCCTTTACAATGTCTGATATTTAAAACAGCAGCGACAGACTGTTCTATGACATAAAGGTTATCCTTTTTGTTGCGCATTGATTTGTATCCTGGCAGGAAAAAAACGACATCAGTTTCACACTTATCTATTGGGGGAGGGGGGGGGTTATTTATTAATATCCTACCCCCAGATGACGTCACAGGACAGTCTAACATTTTAGAGGGTGGTAAGACTAGGTTTCCCGGATCTCTGATGCTTTTAACGACCCCAAAACATATAGAACTGGCCCTAACCCCAACCCACCTGCGACACACGAGAAAGTGCAACCTAGGTCCCACGACTGCATGCAGCCTATCTACCACCCCCTGCAATATTAATCTGTACGGTGACCTGCGGATCTTTCCTGTTTGGGGAGGGATATTAAAAAAAGCATCTTTCTTTTCCATTGCCCAGATGGCTCATGTACACAAGAGAACCACCTTCTGCCAGGAAAGTTCAAGATCTGAAACGAATTGATTTAAGAAACCAGTTTAACTGGAGTCGTACTGTACTCGGTGACTCCACTTTCCAAATTGTGTACGGGGTTATTGGAGAGAGAACGGCTCCTGTGAAGGATTACGGTTAGTCACTTGATATTCTTATTACATGAAGCCAAGAGTTTTAATAATTATTCAAAGAACAACAGATTATAAAGGCCTCTTTGTCTGACAAAAATGACCTGGTACTAACATGCATTGAGAGAGCCGCTCAAGGATGGGGAAAAGACACGTAATGACGACATCGCAAAAGAAAGGCCATGCAAAAGATAGAATTACGATATCAAGAATAATCTTTCAGAATGACGATCAGCATGCATTAGAAAAAAAAAAAAAAATAAGATCGTAAAATCTAACTTAAAAACACTTTCATGAGTAACTGGCTTGAAATATATCTTCATCGCTGTTTTTTCTCATTTCAGTTTGACACAGACTGATTTCAATTAATATTTTTTAACTTGTATTCTCATAAAATCCCTCCATCATGTAGCAGGTCCTTTGCATAAAGTCGCTCTCATCACAGTCTGCCTGAAAGAAACTCGGTCTCTCGCCAGTTCTCTCGCCTCATGCACTTTCGCACTCAAGGAGTCACTTATATCCTGTGCCCATCTTCGTGTCGGTCGACCCCTGCCCCTCCTTCCTGGTACCATGCCTTCTGCTATTATTTTTTCCAATCCCTCCTGGCGCTTGATATGACCAAAATATTTCAGCTTTTGAGAAAGGATGCTGTTTATTAGCCAGTCTTCCTTGATGATTAGATCTTTTAGGATGTCAATATTTCTCATCTTCTTTGTCCAAGATATTCTGAGAATCTTTCATTTCAGCTCAAAAGCCCCTATTCTCTTTCTTAAGGACTGTCTTATTTAATAGTTAATCATAAATGTTTTGTTGTCAAAGTACAGCAGTTAAAATGTTTCATATTACTGCCCTTCAGGAGCTATTTTCCAGCGAAAGAAACACGTCGTTGCATGGTTTGTTAGCAAGTGCAGGACGTTTTCCAAACGTGAAGACTACGTCAGACGTCTGAGCTCATATGTCAGCGTGCATGTCTACGGACTGTGTGGGAATCGAACGTGTGGTTCACGAGGCTACGAAATGGGTGGTAGCAAAACTAAGTGTCTCGAGATGATTTCTAAATCCTACAAGTAAGCAGGTACATTTATATGAATATAACTTTTCAGACAAATTGCATGGATCGGGACCATTTGGTGGTAAATTGATACGTGGCAAGGCAGATGTGGTCAAGTCCCTTTGGGACCAAGTAACGAAGTCAAAAGAGAAACTGAATTATTATGGCATGGAGAGAATGATGTACCTGGATGTTGCCAGAGGGTCTGGCCGACTCACTAGACTCAGAGGAAAGGCAAGACGGACATATAACCATACTACAAACGGTACCATCAGCGTTGGAACTCTGCGATGGTGGCTAAAGATGGGGACAGAGCGCATGTGGGAAAGCCCCGGGTGATGTGTTGTCAATTCTTAACTTAACTCAACTCAACAACTTTTCGGAATGGTGGATGTGTTTTTTTTAAGATGAATGACGCTTAGAAGCTTTGTAGGTATACAGGAGAATTAGAGCGTGTTGCCAATCAGTTAATTAATCAATCAATCAATCAATCAATCAATCAGGACTTTACTGCATGCACTTACAATACTTAATGCCGTTTAAGATATGTGTGTGTGGGGGCGTGAGACACGGGTGATATTTTCCCCACGTACTGTGCAGATGAAATATTTTAGGGGGATTTAACGCTGGGGAGGGGGGGGGGGGGGGGGGGGGGGGTAGTAAACACTGATACAAATAAGAAACAAAAACATAAAGAGAAACACGAACATAAAAAGTATATAATTCGGGATGGGGAGATAAACGGAGAGAAACGGAGAGAGGGAGAGAGAGAGAGCAAGCGCGCGCGAACGTATAAGCCAACAGTTTCCCCTAAGCGTTAATATTATGAGAATACTGAAAAGCTTTCGTCTACAGGTAGTGGACACGAAACTTCACTGCAAAAACACACACAAAAGGTGTTGGTGGGTGGTTGGATGGGTGGGGGGAAGGGGAGTTAAATAAAATGAAAAATAGGGAGTGTAAAGGCAACATAAAAATATGTACTGCTGAAGTATTGATCTTAAGATGCAAAATGGAAAGAAACGCAACAATTGCGATATTCACCAAGTAACCTGTCGATGACTTTTCTTTGCAAAATACTCACAGTTGGTTGCAATTTATTTCTGTGAGAGTGTCCATAATGGGTTGGTTGTCCTGGTTATTGTGCCTATGGGGACATTCTCTGCGTATACCGTAATATACTTCTGAGCCGCTGACCACATTTATCCATCACCTGCCTGCCATGACTTCTTGTAACTTTGATCAGGGGCTAAGAGAGTGATGAAAAGCACAAACCTGCAATATTATGACAGTAAGAAAGTTAGAGGGGAGGAGAGGCATAGGGATACCGAGAGAAAAGACGCTGGAAAGTTTGACATCATGATATGCAGGATCATCTATGTCAGAGCTGACTGAAAGTACACGAGACACAAGGTTGGAGATAGACCTGACTATCAACGCCACACAGCGTGGACTTTAAGAAGAGGAAGGAACCCATGTATTGGTCTAAAAATATGAGGCAAATGCTAACATCACACACACACAAACACACACAGACACACACAAACACACACAGACACACCTATATATATATATATATATATATATATATATATACATATATATATATATATATATATGTGTGTGTGTTAATTGTTCGTCTTTGTCCAGAATCATGAAAGAAAATCTGTTCTCCCGTCCTCTACCTCTCCTTGATCTCCACCGCTGCCTTATATGTAGGCCTAGTGGACATAGGGGTCTATCTAAAATCATACAATTAATATTCTGTCTTCTACTTCTTGTTTGTATCCACCGCTGCGGCATTTTAAGTCATTGCAGCCGAGGCATCATCTTTAGTACTAACACCAGTATATAACAGTTAGTGTGAAAAACAAACATATTGTCTCAGACACACAACTACGAAATAAATATTTTTCAAAATTACAATTTCAAGGAAAATAAGAAGAAAAATTTATATTTTAAGGAATATAATCTCAGCGAAAACAGACTTTTACTAATTGTTTGCAATAAATAAATGTGACTGTTAATGGCAATTGAAAATTTAACCCGTGTATTCGTGGCGGTTTGCGATGAGTTAACACTTCAGTTGAAATAAACGAAATACAGAAAAGGTTTTGATTTAAAGTTAATCTGTTTGTGTGTGTGTGTGGGTGTGTGTGTACATACATTTATATATATATATATATATAAAATTATATATATGTATATTGTCCTTTAGTGCCATTACATGTAACATAGTGGTCGCAGTCTCCTACCTTATTCCGTTATATCGTGTGCCTCTCATCAGTGTTCGTCTTAAGGTTTCCCATTTTATTTCCTGTTTGGTGACTCTGCTGGTTTCTCCTCTTGACGTTACCAGTGTAGAGCAATTATATATATAATATATATATATATGTGTTTGAGTGTGGGTGTGTGTGTGTGTGTGTAGAGAGAGAGAGAGAGAGAGAGAAAGAGATTTACACACACTTACATACATATACACACTAGATTCAATTGCCGGTTTTACTTAGTACCAATTTAAGGTTAGGTCGACCTGAGCGTCACTGACATGCGAATTCAAACCTACGATCTTCAGATACACAGGCGAGCGACTACCAATTGCTACAAGGCTCCTACTGTAGACATAATTAGTATTAGTCACGCTGTTGTTATTTTTTTTTTTTCAATGCTTAGGCTATTTGTTGCGTAAAGTGCAAAGAATGGTGAATCTAAAAATATACAATTACAAAATAAATGTTTTAAAATTTCACATAGGTTTTAAACCCAGCACCTCCCACCTGTTAAATGGATGTAATACCAGTTGTTCACAATGTTACAGACATACCTATTGTATGTTATATATTATTGAAGTTAATCAATTATAATCATCATGTCAGTAAGTGGGAATATACAATATATTTAACCTCTTGCTGATCATCAGCGATTGTCAGCAGTTTTGAGGAATTCATGTCAAATTACCGCAGTTTAATCCACCACCACTCTCTCTCTCTCTCTCTCTCTCTCTCTCTCTCTCTCTCTCTCTCTCAAATTTGACTGATTAAGTTCCCCCCCCCCCCTGCAACCCTTTTCCCCCATCCCCTTCTTCGACGACCAAACCAACCCTACGCCGCTTAAGGGCCGTATGCCAGCTTTAGGTGGAACAGGTCTAATCAGAATGGTGTCACGACGTTTTATACGTAAAGAAAACAAGGTTACTTTCTAAACTTCACGTAGAAAGGGAGATTACCGCGAAATATAGTTTTGTTTCCCAAATGCATTCTCCAAGAAGGTGCAGTATTTAGGTACTTAAATGAAATAACTCCAGCAAATGTGAATTTTTAGTGATAGTGATGTTTATTATCAGACAGACATAGAAACCCTGTTACAAATATCACTGTTGGTCTAGACATTGCAGCTAGAAAGAAATAGGCAAATGTCACCCCTTTATTGTTCATTGTATTTGAGGAGTTCTTATGAGAAATAAACGTAGAGACAGACATGTGGGTATTAGGTTATCAGTTATAATTTGTATCCCCTTTTTTAGATTCTACTTGTCGTTTGAGAACTCCTTTTGCCGAGATTACATCACTGAGAAGTTCTTCGCCATGTTCAGCGACGTAGACGTGATTCCTGTGGTCAGAGGGGGCGGTGATTACAGAAAGCTGTTTCCTCCTGGGATTTTCATCAATTCTGATGACTTTCCTTCTCCAGAGAGTCTCGGGAAATACCTGAATGCATTGGCTCGTGATAAGTCGGCTTATATTAGAATGCTTCAGAATAAAAACAGGTATTGTTTTCTATACTTGGTTAGTTAGTCCTGTTTCAGTTTCAATGATTCATTTATTTGCTTTATTTTAATCAACTGTTATAATAGCATGCACCTTACGGGATACAGCGAAATACACCAGGCATTAAATTGTGCAATCTGTTGTTTGTGTCTTCTTTGTTTAAACCGGTTATTTGGTTTGTTTTTTAGGCACCCAGCCGGTCAGTTAATTATTTGATTAGTTCGTTTGTCAGTCAGTCACTTAGTTAGTTACCTATTGGTTTTTCAGTCATTTAGCATTTTAGTCAGTCATTGAGATAATTAGTTAATTATATGGTCAGCTAGTCTGTCAGTTAGTTAGCTAGTCAGAAAATTATTTATTAATTCTGCCAGTCAGTTAATAAATGTTGGTTAGCTGGTTTTCTTTGTGTTATTTTGCTTTCCCTACGGTTTTTTCTTTTTCGTATTTACTAGCTGCAAATGCTAGAAGAACGTTTTAGTTGTTCATCCAGTTCTAATGTGCTGACTCGAACCATAACTTACGTTCTGTGTGAACATTCGTTTTACAGATTTGGCTTATTTATGTGCTGACTGTTGATTCGTTGCCTCTCAGTAATATCCATTCTGACTGCCTGTTGAATTCGTTGAATATCTTATATGTCGTCTTTTACGACATGCTTATAAGGCGGTAAGTTGTCTATTCTCTATAATGGGACCCAGGATCTCAGACGGCAATCTTTCCATTCATTCATTTTCCTTGTGACGACATCGTGTACCAAATAAGTCGTAGTAAGATCAGGTTGTCACCGGGGCTCTCACGGGAAGTAAAGAATAGTGACAGGCGACTAAGGGTAGGGTTGGGCTTGAGTGGCTACCTCATCTTGCGAAAATCTAGCCCCCCAAAAAACACAACCAACCATGGATAAGTCAAAAAGAGAAGCAAGTAAAACCCAGCCAACCAAGATGAAGGGAGGCTCTTCAAATAGAAGAAGTATGACACGGTGTGGAGAAAGCCGTAGGGAGTTTAGATCGTTGACGTACCTCCTCTCAGCTAGGAAAACCTCCAGAATTGGCACCTGGAATGTTAGAACTCTCTATGATATAGGGAGAGCAATGGACGTAGCAAAGGAAAAACAGGAGAACAGCATAACTAGAATGTCTTTGCATTGGAACCCACAGGGGTATAGGAATATAGGAAGGCCAAAAAACACATGGAGAAGAGAGCTGGAGAATGAAGTTAGAAAGATGGGGAGGACATGGGGAGAGTTCCATGCAATGGCGAAGGTTAGAACGACTTGGCGTGAGTTGGTTGAGGGCCTATGCTCCATTTTGGGATAGAAAGGCAAAATAAGAAGAAGATCAGGTTGTCACGGCTACCCATTTCATACTATCAGCAGAATTATCAAGATCAGTGTTGCTGCACCGCCCAAACTATGTGGCCAAGCTGTCAAGGTTTCCATCTCTGTTTTCACGTTGCTCTTTGTTTTCACGTTTTCCAGCTGTCAAATTTTCAAGTACAATAATTCCCATAGCATAATCCAACAAAAATTGTGTCTACGTTTAATTACTATAACACATTTAAGGATTCCAGTTACAGACATACGTCATCAACTAATAAATCAGGTGTCGCTTCCTCAATACAAGTTCGTCATTGTGTATCTCCAGCATGATGTGTCTGTCCTTCTGGTTCTCAGTCTGCGAGACTGCTGTTCATCCGATACATTATATTATCCTTTACCGTGTATGGTTGCTTGCTTCTTGCTCTCATGTATTCATTTTTGTTTCCCTTGAGTATTATTTTTGTCAAGAATGATTCTTCTCTAAATTTTGTCTGTAAGTTTCACTTACCTTTACTTTCTTTGTCTTCAAGGAGCTCTCGTAAATTTGTGTGTGTGTTTCAAATCAGTCTCTTCAGAACGTCTGTATTTGAATGTTTTTGTTTAGATGAAATGCAACCCATTTTCCTATATGTTCACATCTCTAGATACTCTAAAAGAGCCTTTCTAATTGCTCTTTCATTGACACAGGAATAAGCAAAATATGCAATTTCTCGCAGAAGAAACAATGATATACTAATATCCCTTTACTTGATCACAGGTATAATTTAGTAGGAATAGCAATAATCATAAACAAATTATTTCTGTTGATCAGAGAGGAAAAACAATGAGTAGAAGGCACAATGATAATATTTGCTTTTATCTTTCCTTCCTCATAGGTATACGTTAACAAGCGGGACCTATTTCTCTTGTAACCTCTGCAAAGCTTTACATTTGCAGTCACCTCAGAATGTGTATGAGGACATATACTCGTGGATGCTACGTCCGAATAACTGCTGGAGTCCCACGGATTTACCAGATATTCAAAATTAGATATCAAACACATTTCTTGCTTTTACTGTTTTGTGTGTGTGCAAATGTGAACACTTGTTGCTTATTTCGCAGTCACAAACAAGTAAGTCGGGGCTTGTAAGGGAGCAGCACCCATCTGATAGTTTCTTTCCCTTCCCCCACAAATTCTTTATCATGCGTAGTCGGGTGCCTTTTCTTTTTTTTTTGCATGGGCCAGACACATTCTATCTTCACATCAGGCGGATCACAGTGTGGCTTTGAATCAGAAACGGTTTTAAAGCAGTTTGTGTCACCATCTCCAATGAAGCTTGTGTATCTCAGCTTATATTTCTTTAGCGATGCGATTGTTGCTGTTATACCTTCAGATAAACCATTATGTGTAGATGTACATTGTGATTGGTGATTTTCTTTCCACAACTTATTAGCTTCGGAATCCTCGCCTTGTGTGTTTCAGTAGTCACAAGATTTGCATACTTCTGGGAGTGTACCTGTATCAATAACCTTTCCCGTGACACCGATAATGAGCGTGGATACCCTTCTTTTTTTTTTTTTAAAGAAATGTCCTCGGGTAATTCAGGTTCCTTTACATGCACATCAATAGAATGGCAACCAAAAACTGACAGCCTTCTTTGCTAATCTAAATTCTATTTCTGCTGCTTTCTTCATATTAGCTGCCTGAGAGGAATAACTAACATCACTTTCTATCCTATGATTTATTAGTTCATATGCGATCTTCTGGAAAGGCGGCGAAAGATTCAATATTCCACTAAAAGGCCGAACGGTCACCTCTGCGCAGCGCATAGCAAAAACAGCTCGCTTGTAAGCTGTTGTTGCTGTTGGCACTAATTTGAGGATTGGAATGAACAAATGATCTGTCTTTTGCAATTTTAGTTGCTGCAATTAAGTTCAAATTGACTACCTAGTCCTTGTCTTTCATTCTCAGTAAGTCTGGCTTGGTTGTAACAAATGCACAAACCAGTTGTGATGAAATCTGGTGACACATAATTTCCAGGTAAACAATTATGTACTCCTGACTGTCACGTTTGGGATATATGTTTGCCTCAACACATTCTTCTAAATATTTATCTGAATCATCATCATCAATGTCATACAGGTCGTTGATTTTTATTGATAGTTAGTTAGTTAGTTAGTTAGTTAGTTAGTTAGTTAGTTAGTTAGTTAGTTAGTTAGTTAGTTAGTTAGTTAGTTAGTTAGTTGTTAGTTAGTTAGTTAGTTAGTTAGTTAGTTAGTTAGTTAGTTGGGTTATCCTCATTGCACTCCGGACATGTCCATAGGTGCTCAGATCCTCCCCTCAGTATGAACCCCAACGTCCGATGGCTAATAGTACCAGTTCTATGTTGATTAACAAGTCTTCGGACGTGTCCGGTGTGCGTCTCGTTTTTTGCTGTGCCGATCTTAATTCCCAAGTCTGCCATTCTGGCTAGTGATGTGCATTCACTGCCACCAAAGTCCTCCATTCTTCCCATTTCTCTGAGGGCATTGATAATATCAGCATGATCCATAGGCTGACCGTCGGTAGTGATAGCGGATCCAGCCAACCAGTCAGCTCCTTCATTTCCATCGACGCCTGCGTGTCCCGGAACAAAAATAAAGGTGACTCCACGCACAGTGGACTTCTGTAATGATTCAAGCCATTGTCTTCGCACTGAACCTGCCTGAACCCTCCGGATCATACTCATTGAATCACTGAGTATACACACGCGGGTGTATTTTTGTGTTTCAAGCCAGGCAAGCGCTTGCGTCACTGCCATCACCTCCATCGTCATGCTGCTGGTTGTCATGGAGAAGGCGCCGTTGGCTTCTTTGACTGTTCTGCCCGCTGGGCGTGCTGTAAATGCCTATGCGCTTCTTCTTTGGCGTATAACGGATCCGTCTGTATAGATTATTGCATCTGCTTCGTCTGAATTTTCACCGATGAGAGCGTTGACCTCTGCATTAACAGCAACAGGATTCTCTTCTCTACATCGCCTGTTGAGTGTGACAATACAGGAACATGCACAAATAAACGCCTGAGGCACAGGTATCCATTCTGCACCAGGTATGATGTCGGTTAGGCTGCATATTTTCCCCCTCTTCAGTCTGTCGCCCTTTTCACTAAAAAGCGCTTGATGCAGTGGGTGTTTCTTATCAGCACATATTTTGAGATATGCCTGAGCCCTCCACATCCTGATCCTTTGGTTCATTGTTGGAAAGTCAAATAGATACCTCATTGCTCCACAGGATGTGTCTCTTGTACATCCCAAAATAATGCGCATGGCTTCATTTTGCACCTTTTCGAGTCGTTCAATCTGGATAGCACTGACAGTGAGGATGGCCAGAGCGTATTCAATGGGGGAAAGGACCAGACCGTAGAATAGAAGTATTAGTAGTCTTTGCTCAATATTGGAAGCAGCCATAATCCTCATTGCAGATAGACCTTTGCGTGCTTTTGTTATCACATTGTCAACGTGTTCCCTGAATGACAATGATTTTTATTGATGATCGGCTGTGAGTGGGCATGGCACTGGGAATGTCAACTTCATTACTGTTTCTACTATTATTATTACTACTTATCACAAAATAACTTGTAGGAATGTCAATGTTTACATGTTTGTCGTTTTCAATAGTATTATTTTAATCTAATTCTTCGCATTTCTTTGCGGCAGTCATAAACCTATTCATGTGAAATTTTCGTTTCTCCGATTACACACTTTTTTATCACTTGACATCGTTTAGAATATCACTTTTATAAATGATTTCAGAACGAACACAATCTAAACACGCTTCCATGGAGGCAGCCATTTTGATCGTTCCATATTGCCAGATCGTTCATTGCAAGACAAATGTTAGGAAGGCTCTCATTGTAGCTAATGATACGTGTATGGGTGAAAACAGGAATTTCTGAATTAATTCTTTTCCTTTAAAGACCAGAAAGACCTGACAGTTTTTGAGCCATCATAACTCGAGTCCTTCTTATCCGATTTACAGAATTGGGACAGAAATGTGTTGAATATTGGTTAATGTTTAATTTGATACCAGTTTGTTAAGATTCCCAGCTAAAACTGCCCCCTTAAACTGAAATGCTGCGGGGAGATTCGTAGAGTCTATAGGAAAAAGAAGGTGATGAATGTTTACATTCTTCACGATCTGAATATCTGTCTAATTTAGAGGATTATTTCTCGAAAACTAAAATACGCTGACCAAGATAAACACTACAATGGTTTGGAGAGAAGAGTAGTGAAATGTATGGTATTTAGAAGAATAACAGAGGCCTACCAGAACAAGAGTTGACGCAAGATGAAAAGGATACCATGGGCGTGAAAGATTGACAACGGCCATTTAACACTAGCGGGGTGGTTTCTTCGGTTGGCCCCGATGGAAGCGATGTTCTGCAAAGAAACTTCTACTTAATTATGATGTAGAAACCACAGAGTCACTAAAAATTAATTTTTATGCTCTATAATAAGTAGCAATAGAGACTGTTTGACGGAAATCAAAACCAGGATGTTCTTAGCAATGCAAAAATAAAAAAAAAAAGCATGAAAAGTCTATTGTGAAGCACTAACAAGGAAATCAAAAATTACATTACTTACGTCAGAGACTAATCACTGTTTTTTGAGATCATTAGACAAAAGAGTATTAAAAGGCTATGGTTAAGTTCTAGAAAGGAAAACAAACTTACAATTTTGAAAGCATGCACCTTCACTGTATCAACATACGGATGTGAGTCCGGGTCGTTAAGAAAGAAAATGGGAACTTTCGAGCTGAAATGTTATAGACAGCTTCTAAGAGTACCATGGACAAAGAAGAGAAGAAATGCTGATATTTTAAAAGATCTGAACATCAATCAAGAAAGATTGGCTAATAATCAGCATCTCGTCTCGAAAGCTGACCTAGTTTTGTCATATCAAGCGCCATAGTGGATTGAAAAAAAGTATAATAGCAAAAGGAATGGTACCAGAAAGGAGGGGACAAAGGCCAATCAACAAAAGATTAGTACATGATTTAAGTGGCTTTATGAATTTATAAGTACACGAGGCGGGAGAGCTGGGGAGAGACTGAGTTTCTTTCCGGCAGACCGTGGTGAAAGCGACGTCCTGTAAAGGACCTGCTACATAATGATGTATTAGCCACTTGCTTTCTTAACGCAGTCAATATAACCTACAGGAACTCCCCAGCTATCGATCAAGTTCCATTCCGACTAACAGGCCATTCAGTCTAACTGGTCGTTAGGCAAATGTATGTTGTTTCATTACTATTGTTGTTCTAACTGCGTTTCCAGACAGACTGTCATACGCGGTAGGGTGAAACAGACTGTGATGTCTAAACCCTGCTGCGTTCTAGGCATTAGTTCCAAGAACTGTCTGACCCTTCCGGTCTAGTTATCTGTGTGTGTGTTGTTTTTTTTTACTACTAATTTTATGTATTTATTTTGTCTGTGTGTTTGTGTCCGCGCGTGCGTGTGTGGTCGTAACTGAGGATGGATGGAGGAAAGTGGCATAAGATTAAGCCGAGAAGAAAGTGTACTGTTTGTTGTAAAATCTCGGATCTGCTGTAATGATTAGACGTTTCCTGCAGGTCTGAAGGTTTCGGGTTCGAATCTGCATTGATACACATGTTCATAAATGACGTGAGTTTCCAGAACGACCCATACTCAAAAGGAAACGAGAATTTGCCAGGAGAAGTAGAGACAACAGGACTAATGTTTACCGTATCACTAAATGAGTCTCCAATTTAGGCTTAAGACTCATTCAGTAAAAGTTGCTTCATGCAAATATGAGTTTATCACTACATCTCTAATTTTCCAGATACAAAACGATTTGATTTTCAACCCCAGTAGGAACGCATGACCAGTGATACACACCCGGTGACCCAGAGTACCATGTTTCGTATAAGAAGCACACGGGTGCAAGTCCCATAAACGCTGTTCAACCGTCTTGTTTTATTCAGGGCCCCCGACAAGAGGCGGATGGGGCTTCAGAACAACAACAGAATCGCATTGCATACTTTTTAAATTAAAA